AAGAAGAAAAGACCAAAATGGATGTCAGAAGAGACTCTGAAACTTGCCCTTGAATGGAGAGTGGCTAAAGCAAATGGAAGAAATGAAAACATAAAAGAGCTGAACAGAAGATTTCAAAGAGCAACTTGAGAAGACAAAGTTAATTACCATAATGAAATGTTCAAAGACCTGGAGTTAGAAAACCAAAAAGGAAGAACACATTTGGCATTTCTCAAGCTGAATGAACTGAGGAAAAAAGCCTCGAGTTGTAATATTTAAAGATTCTATGGAAGGAAGGTTGGGCAATCCTACTTCCGTAGTGATACTGCCTCGGAAACTCAAGGAGGGGTCGCTATGAGTCGGGGCCAACTCGACGGCACATAACAACAACAACAACAACAACAACATGGTAAAAAATATTGAATGATACAGGAAGCATCAAAAGAAGATGGAAGAAATACACAGAGTCACTGTACCAAAAAGAACTGGTTGATGATCGTCCACTTCAGGGGGTGGCATATCATCAAGAACCAATGGTACTGAAGGAAGAAGTCAAAGCTTCACTGAAGGAATTGGTAGAGAATAGACGCCAGGAATTGACAGAATACATACTGAGATGTTTCAACAAACATGCCCTGCTGGAGGCAATCACTTGGATATGCCAAGAGATTTGGAAGACAGTTACCTGGCCAACTGACTGGAAGACATCCATATTTGTACCCATTCCAAAGAAAGGTGATCCCAGAGAATGTGGAAATTATTGAACAATATCATTGATATCACATGCAAGTAAAATCTTACTGAAGATAATTCAAAAACGGTTGCAGCAGTATATTGACAGAGAGCTTCCAGAAATGCAAGCTGGATTCAGAAGAGGCTGTGGAACCAGGGATATCTTTGCTGAGGTCAGATGGATCTTAGCTGAAAGTAAAGACTACCAAAAAGATGTTTACTTATGTTTTATTGACTATGCAAAAGCATTCCATTGTGTGGATCATAACAAATTTTGGATAAGACTGAGAAGAATGGGAATTCCAGAACACTTGATTGTACTCTTGAACCTGAACATAGATCAGGAGGCTGTCGTTCAAACAGAACAAGGGGATACTGCATGGTGTAAAATCAAGAAGGCCATGTGTCAGGGTTATATCCTTTCATCATACTTATTCAACTTGTATGCTGAGTAAATAATCCGAGAAGCTGGACTTTAGAAGAACAACATGGCATCAGGATTGGAGAAAGACTCATTAACAACCTGTGATACACAGATGACACGACTTTACTTGCTGAAAGTGAGGATGATTTGAAGCACTTACTGATGAAGATTAAAAACTACATCTGCAATATGGATTACACCTCAATATAAAGAAAACAAAAATCCCCACAACTGGTCCAATAAACAGCTTCACGGCGGATGGAGAAAAGATTGAAGTTGTCAAGGATTTCATATTACTTGATTCTATAATCAACACCACTGGAAGCAGCAGTCAAGACATCAGACAACGTATTGCATTGGGCAAATCTGATGCAAAAGACCTCTTTCAACTGATGGAGAGCAAAGATGTCTTCTGGAAGACTAAGGTGTGCCTAACCCACGCCATGGTATTTTCAATTACCTCATATGCATGTGAGAGCTGGACAATGGATAAGGAAGACTGAAGAAGAAGAGTTGATGCTTATGAGTTGTGGTGTTGGCGAAGAATGCTAAGAGTACCATAGTCTCCTGAAAGAACTAACCAATCTGTTCTGGAAGAAGTGCAGCTGGAATGTTCCTTAAAAGCGAGAATGTCCAGACTTCCTATCACCTACTTTAGTCATGTTGTCAGAAGAATCATTCCCTGGAGAAGGATATCATGCTTGGCAATAAAGAAGGGGAAGTAAGTCCCTCAACGAGATGGATAGACACAGTGGCTGCAATGATGCACTCAGGTATAGCAAGGATCGTGAGGCTGGCACAGACCAGGCAGTGTCTCGTTCTGCTGTGTATAGGGTCTTTATGAGTCGGAGATGACTTGATGGCACCTAACAACAACAACATTTATCCTACATGTATTTTCCCATCTTCTATATTCTCATCAACTTTGTGTAATTACGCTAAGAGCCTTTATTTTTGGGTACAAACATATTTAAAATTATATCTGGTTCATTAATTGAATCTGTCATCATTATAAAGTGATCCTATTATCTATAGTAATACTTTTCACCTTAAAGTCCATATTGTCTGAAATTAATTTAGCTTTCTTTCTGGTTAGTATTTATTTGCATAATAATTACTACATATTGATTCATCTTTACTCATACTATATTTGTGATTTTCTCTGCTTTTCTTACATCTCAAACCTTCTATCAAGGATTTCTTTCATCATACATAAAATATATCCTTTAAATTTTGCCTTAGTGTGTATTAAAGAAAATTTGTTTTCATTTTCTGAAACTTGTCTGACCTCATTAGTTTATTTTATCCTCTTTCTTAAAAGGCAGTTTTGCTAGGTATGGAATTCTGCATAGGCAGGCATCATTTTACTGTTTTCTGGTTTCCACTGTTAGTAAGGATTCAGCTGTCAGTTTAACTGCCACTTCATCAAACATAATCTAATTTATTTTCTCTCTACTTTTAAGATTGTCTGTTTGTTATGGATATTCTTTAATTTCACCATTATGGTACAAGGGATAGATTTATGCATCCCTCTTGAGATTTGTTTGGCTTCTTGAGTCTGTGGTCTGGTGTCCTCCATTAATTCTGAAAAAAATCTCAGCCATTATCCCTTCATATTGCTGTTCATGTTCATGTTGCTCTATTTTTCTCTTCTCTTCAATTATATATCTACTGAGCCTTTTAACTCTGTTCTTCACGTCTCAATCTTTTTGTTTGTGTTTTTCCATCTCTGTCTCCTTGAGCTTCATTCAGTATAATTTTTTTCCTTTCTTTTAATTAATTAATTATTTTTTAGCTGTGTTTAATTTGCTGTTAAATCCATCTATTGTTTTATTTTTAGAATTTCCATTTGAGTCTTTTTAAAACCTTTTGGTTATATGTTATTCTATCATAGCAGATAATTGCAAATTTATCTTTAGTTTTTCTTTAAGTACAAAAAACAGTCATTTTATAATCTCTATCAGATAACTCTATTAATTAAAGTCTTTACCATTTCTGATTTTTTTCCTTATAATTCTCACTTATGTTGCTTTCTTCTTATTAAATTATTTGAGATACTTCTATGCTAGGATGAAGGTACTTTCCTTGAAACAGATGTGTATTTGCTTTGGCCTGGTGTCTATGGGTGCTTAGCAGTTTTACTTTAAACCAAATTATGGCTTGAGATTTATCAGAGTGCCAAATAACACAAATTTGCACTGAAAATCAGTGAAGACAACTTTTGTTTACAATTTCTGAGAGACAATTCCCCATTTCTCTATCACCTCACCAAGGCAACTTTGCTTGTTGATGTCTGCAGATGGTATGGATGTAAAGGGTTTGCTTATACTTCAACACATGCTTCTATTGTTATATGACTATTGCTTAAATCCTGTCAGGACAGGCTAAATAATTTAGTTTATTTGGAAAAGTAGGAAAAAAGAATTCTAGACCTGAAAGAAAAAAGCAAATTATAGCTTTGTTTTTTCATTTGACAAATGAGGAAGAGAGGTTATATTGTTGTTGTTGTTGTCGTTATGTGCCATCAAGTTGGACCCAACTCATAGCGACCCCTCCTTGGATTTCTGAGGCATTATCACTACGGAAGTAGATTGCCCCATCATCCTTCTGAGGAGTGGCTGATGGGTTTGAACCGCCAGCCTTCTGGTTAGTAGTCAAGCTCCTTAGCCACTATGCTACCAGAGCTCCCGAGAGGTTATATATTCAGTATTTATTCAGTGAAATAGCAGTAAGTGGAAGGTCTTCTTACTTTTACTGCCCCTTCCACTAACTATATTTTATTTGAATAAAAGTAAAAATTTAACTTAAGTAAAAATTTAAAGCAAATGAAAGAACAAAACAAATTCTGAAAACAAGTCTTACTTACAAGATTCTGATATAGTATAGAAAGAGGCTTATAAACATTGAAAAAATTAATATGGTTTATCTGTGTTTGGTATTTTTGCACACTAAATTATTTTATAATTTAATGTGCCAAAATAGAATTTGTTGGTTTCCAAATAGATCTTCATTAGGGGGCACAACATGATATTAAATGTGTTAAATTATATTAACAATATACAGAAAGCTGTAGGATCTTGATTAGAAAAGTCAATTAAAATCTATTCAATTTCTAGTAAGTAGAAGGGTACCTTTTATTGATTAATAATAAAAAGTTACTGTTCATTTCAAAGTTTTTACCCAATTTATTTTTTCAATGAACTTGCATATATATTTTTTAAAGAATAGAATACAAAAGAGAGTGAAGAAAATCAAAGATGCCTGGAAACAATTAGTCCAAGGGATGAGTAGACCATGTGAGACTCAATCTCCATGACCCTGAGACCAGAAGAACTAGATGGTGCCAAGCTACCAATACCAACCACTCTGAAAAGGATTCTGGATAGAGTGGAAGAAAAATGTGGAAAAAATCTCAAAATCATATAAAAGACAAGGTTTACTGGTCTGATGAGAGACTGGTGGAACCCTCAAGACTATGACCCTTAGTGAACCTTCATGCTGCCATTGAACTCACTCCCACGACTCATCTCTCATCCAAATAATAGAGCTATGAGGTGAACAATAACATCAGGGAGGTATGCACTCCTTAGAACAGTCAACCATAAAAGATCAAATGGGCTGCATCTGCCCATGAATAAAGCTCAAAAGGTTAGAATGGATAGGACAGGACAAAAGGAAATGGTAACCACAGGGAGGAAGTGGGAAGAGCGCTGTTACATTGTGGGGATTGCAATTATTGTCACAAAACAAAATATATACGAACTGTTGAATGGAAAATCAATGGGCTCTGTAAACTTTCACCTAAATCACACGTTAAAGAAAAAAAAAAAACAGAAGAATGTATTACAATAAAAATTAAACTTACCATCATCTTCCCAGCAGCTCTTGGTATTTCCTTCTCTTTCACTGCTCCCCGGTAATACTGTCTGGTCTGTTGGCAAGTCATCTTCTGGCACACCACCTTCACAATCTGCTGCATCTGTAACACTTTCTTCTTCCACAATATGGAGTTTGTCTTCATCATCCGAATCTGAATTTGTTTCTACCACAGTATTATAATTTGTAACTGTAATACGAACAAGAAACAAATAATCAAAACGAGTTAACATAAAAATTGTTTTTTCTACCTCAGGAAAATAGAAACAAACAAACAAAAGACCCTTAAAAAAGACTGTAATTCAAAACTATTTTATTTTAAATCATGATATGTTGTTGTTGTTTGCCATCGAGTCGGCCCCGACTCATAGCGACCCCTCCTTGGGTTTCTGAGGCAGTATCACTACGGAAGTAGGATTGCCCAACCTTCCTTCTGAGGAGTGGCTGGTGGTTTTGAATATAAAAACTAATTTATTTGACAACATACATATATGGCTCTCAGTAGACAATAGTTGGCCAAAATGGCAAATAGCTAAACTTATTGAGTACTTAGTGTATATACAAAGCAAACCAATTTGTGTCCAGTTGATTCAGACTCACAATGACCCCATGTATTTCAAAGTAGAACTACAATCTATAGGGTTTACAATGGCTATGATATTTCAGAAGGAGCTCTAATGGTGCAATGGTTAAAGCATTCAGCTAATAATTAAAAGATTATCAGTTCAAACCTGCCAGCTGCTCTGTGGGAAGAAAATGAAGCAGTTTGCTTTCATACAGATTTAAAGCCTTGGAAACCTTATGGAAGCAATTCTACTCTGTCCTATAGGGTCCCTATGAGTTAGAATCGACTTGGTAATAATGGGATGGGTCCTTCTGGGTAGATTTGAGTGCTTAACCATTTGTGCCACCCAGAGACTCCTTACAATATGTTTAAGTGATTTCAAAGTAATTACTCATTTAATTCTTACAATAACCTATGAAACAGTATCTACCTACCACCTAATACTTGTATTCCTGTTTTACAAATGTGGGAGATCAAGGCATAGAAAGGATAAGTAATTTCCTAAGATTAATACAGCTAGGAATTGGCAGGCTAGGATTTGAACTTCAGCAGTCTGGTTTTATAATCTATATTCTTAAATATTACATTAAACATCCTCTCCAATATTAATGAACTTATTTATATAATATTGCTTATCTAGAATTAGCACTTAAAATCTTTAAAGCATTAAAATTTAAGAAAATAAGCCATCCCTCCTAATAATATAGCAATACATCATCAAATTTTCCACAAAAAGGTATTTTCAAGTTGTCAGTTAGGGCTGTGCGTTTCATACTAATATCTATGCACTGACTTTAGAAAGAATCAACTAATTTTGTTAAATTTCTGAATTTACTCTGAAAAATAACCACATTTTATTCTGAAAAAAATGGCATTCAGAAATTTCAAACGAGCACCTTTTCCATATTTTTATGAATTTCAATAAAATTTAACATCAGCATTGCAAATATATATAATTATCCTGAAGGACTTTTACAACTCTTAGAACTATGAGTAATAGTTGAGAATAAAAATTCTCTAGAACAAGTAATTTAGTACAATCAATATATTCTTTCAAAGTCCTTGAAAAAAATCACTAATGGGACAAATTACTTAGTCCTTCATTGGGTGTGGTCACTGGAATATATTTTTCAATTATCTGCAGGGTGATTCTTATTTACAAAAATAAGATAAAGAAGAAGGGAGATAATGGAAGCTTTGCTTTGTCCCAATAATGAAATAATAATTACTTTTACCTATTCTTTCCCTTGCTTCCTGAGACTTTCCCAACATTCTTGTCAGAAGATAATCACCTAAATGATATGCACATATATTCCCCCAAACACATAAACACACACACACACACACACACACACCCCTGAGAACTTCAAGAACTATATTTTTTTAAAAGAGTGGATGTATATGTCAAGATAAGAACAAATAACCAACTACCTCCTAAATAGTTTTCAGACACTGAGAAAACCCCTCTGCCCAAGAAGTACCCGAGTTATCATCTTTTCCACGTTCGTCGGTATCCACGTCAGATGAAAATACCAAATCTTATCTCATTAATACTTTAATGTGAATACCTTTTTCCAGATCTTTTCCCCAAAGCAAATGCTTTATGCTTTTATTTCCTTATAAAAATCATATAGATAGATAGATGTAGATATATATAAAATCTATATATAATAAATTATTGTGAGTTGGGTGAATTTACATAGCAAATTCGTTTTCCATACTGCAGTCCACATACAATTTGTCTCATGACACTGACTGCAAAAAAGTAATATATTCTTACTTTTTCAAGTTCAGACAACATAAAACATATAAGGGAAAAGGTCTTTATCTTTGCTTCCTCCACCTACTCTCAAACGTAACAACAGAAAAATTTATTATTTGTATGCACTAGATAAGCATGATACTAAACAGCTTATTTGTTGTTGTTATGTGCCGTCGAGTCGGCCCCGACTCATAGCGACCCCTCCT